CTCTTAGGGAGGGCAGGGCATGGTTCCATCAGTCTATCTCTTTCTCAGACTCCCTGATGCTGCTTAACCTTTCTACGTCCTCCTGTAGCTCTGCCACCAGGCTGAGCAGATCGTTCACCTGGTCACACCTCACCCAGCTGTTCTCACTGCTGCCATCCATTACCAGTGAAAGGCTCTGGCACTCCCTGCAGCCTGAGACCTGGATGGCTGCGTGTTTTCGTGGGAGCTCTGTCTGGGTTGCCACATCCATTCTGGTGAGTGCAGAGGACATAGCTTTCTGCCGGGTGGGTGCCATAGTTCAGCTCCTTTGTTGATGTCACCGTTCTCTGCATCTCTCTATGGGCTTGCCACACTCCATCGTGTCAAGACAGTGACTTGTATTCCATTTCAGGTCATTTACATTCTTATCCGACTGACTCTCTCGCACATGTTTTGTCTGTTTCTGCTTCTGCTCAAGGAAATCCAATAAAGTAACTCACCCAATTTGCATCAACATGATCCAAACACGATAAATGTTCAACACTATTTCCTAAACACAGTGAATATGTCTATACAGCAGTTGATGGGCAGGCATGAAGTTTAGGAGCACAGTATGCTCCTAAACCTGTCCACCTTCTGTCCATGTGCTGACTTGCAGAAAGCCTATGAACTGCCGGTATGGGTGCTGTGAAAGCTGTGTATGAGAGTGGAGGGGTAGAGAAATTGTTTAAATGAACCATTAAAGACAGTTTCTTCAAGATGGGATTGTGGTGCATTGACAGCGTGGTGGCAAGGAAACATATGTTAAGTGTTACTGTTCTGTTCTGTGGTTAGCGTGGTTGTCATCAAGTTCTGTTTTATCCTAACTTTTCTGAGATGCCAATAAGCAATAATATCCAACTTCTTTGCTGTCACTGAATTCACGCCCACACCAACTCCACTGCCACCCTAAAACATCACATTCTCAATTAAAATATATTTCTGTAAGAGCTCAGTGATTTAAAAAAAAAAAAAAAGTATCTTCCCTAAAAATGAGAGATTATAATTCATGCCTACCATGAATAGGTGAAATTTTCAGTTTGATGGGTGCATAAGCATAGGAAGAAAACAAAATTCAAGTTCAATCTTATGTGAATATTTCATTATTCAAAGCTGTTATTGTCTGGAGAGATGAGCACAGAGAGTGCGGGTAGTGAAAACAAATTTTATAAATATCATTGCAATTGTAGCTGTACTGAAACATACGTTGTCATCACAATCTCATCTGTTCAGCATGTGTTTAAACTGGGGCAAACTCCTTGCTGACTTACACTTGGAGTTATGAGATTTGCAGGTGGTGTGAATCACCAGAGAATGCAACCAGTATTTTTATAAACCTTTAGTTTTATTAGGTGGGTAACACCCACAAGTACTTTCTATCAACAGAAAAAAGCATGGCTAGGGCAGTGGTAGAAGAAACTTCCTGCAATGTTTTGCAATGTGGAATCACAGGGAAAATTCCCCAAGGCAGAAGATAGTTCAATATCCCTTCCCCATTCAATCCCTGGCCCCTTTCTGCAGTAATGATAAAAGTGATTGCTAAACATGTTGCTTTTTTTTTTTTTCTGATATGGCTTTGCAAATAAAGAGATAACTCCAAGAAAAAATAAGTTCCTAAATAAATGTCAGATGGTCATTATTCTCTTTCTGTGAAGCTGTGTAGGACATTAATATTTAGTAATAGAAATAAATTTCTTCTCTGTTTAAGATCAGTCCCTGGCACATGTTTCCAAAATATGATCTGCTTAGCTATCTGTTTAGCTTTGTGACTAGAGGCTAGTCATTTTTCTTTGGAATGGTCTGTTTATTGTGTGGCCTTTGGAGAGACGGGGTCGCTGATGTCTGGGCGTATGTATGTTCTGTAGTCTTAATTGCCACTCTGGATCAAATTAGATTGGATAACTAAAAGATATTGAACGGTTTATAAAATACATTCATTTACCAAGGTGAAATGATGGCAGTTTATATGGTGAAGAGCCCTGACGGGGATCTATTACATTGTTTGCCTCCAAATGAACTACTCTGTCAAGTTGCTGATAAGCGTGGCAATTTCAGAGGTAAAACAGACCTCGAGCATACCCAGATGCTGTTCCAAAGCATTCAGCAACTCTGGCTGATGTATGGGAAGCAGGTAGCTGTACTGCATCCAGCTGAAACATAAATGGGCAGAAGATTGTTTCTCTAGAGTATGGCCAGAACACTGCACCTCCTGTGAAAGCATTGTGAAATACCTGATGGAGGCAAGTAGTTAGTTGTTTTTTGTAGGGTTTTTTAAAAATGGCAACACTGGCCACACATGCCCTAGGGCGTTAAACTGCCACACAAGACTATTTATAATTGAAAGAGGAAGATATTTCCTAATTAATTATATAAACCATGCTGCAGCACAACCCAGCCTTTTTTTCAGTAATACAATATAATTTGTTGCACAGTTACGTAGTGTATTGTGAGCAACCACCGATCTTAAGAAGCTACGGCTTTGTTTCCATTGTTTCTTGTTTGCAGTTTTAGAATTAGGACACACAGAATTGTGAGATTAAAAAAAAAAAAAAAAAAAAAAAAAAAAAAAAAAAAACAAACACAAAAAAACATGCCGCAAAAAAACCTTGGGAGTTTCTTTATATTCCTTCTAATTGTGAGCCTGCCTCGTGTTACACTTTCAAGCTTTTCACTGTGACTGAGAAATAGGAATGTGCTTTTTCATAAATTAAAATAGGTATCTTCATGTCATCACTGGATTTCTATTCCTGAGGAGTTAACAAAATATAAACTATTATGGAACTTTTATGAAATAAAATATTAAGAACTGAGGAGGATTTATTTCTGTCAGCCTCCTTACAGAGAGACACTGAAACTTTTACTGAAGAAACTTTCCTCCCATCCTGTGTGCTTGATACCAGACCTCAATCTGTTTCTTGCAGGTGTAGCAGGATTTTTTTTGTCTTTTAACATTGTCATAATTTGCAGGCATCCCAAACGGTTTGTCAGTGAGACTATTGTGTTTACACTTAGTGATTCCATGAACACAGTGTACTATTAATACTGTCAGATTTGTTTTGATGCACTTAGATATAATGCAATCATAACATAAAATAAGTTACGTGCCAGCAAATAAAGAGTAGGTTTTGACTACAGAGTTGGGAATGCTGGTTAAAAAAAGAGAAAGCAAAAAATGAGGAAATTAAATGTGTAGTATATTTGAGGCTTAGCTCTTTTCCAAACTGTGATTTAGGTTTTCTTCAAGACTTAGCTGCATTAGTTAAGGCTAGCTGAAGAGAGCCCTGCCTTAATGGTTCTGTTTTTCAGAGCGACCTAGTTCTTCATCTAAACAGGCTTCAGGGTTATCATCTTATCTCTGTGTTCAGTGAATCTTCAGAGGCTTTCCTGGACTTCTCGAAGGGGGTCCATCTTATGATTCCAGTATTTGGGTTCCTTGTGGTGTTGTCTCAGACCAGGCTTTCCTCACAGCATGAGCTGGATCTTGTACTGGCTGTCATTTCATGATTCTCAAACTCCTGGTTGCTGTTACTGACTGCCAAAAGGAAGAGCACAGCGCATTCACTCTTTTTTTTTTTTTTTCCCCCCTAAGGAAATTTCAGCTCATCTCTACATTTACAACAGAAAAAAAGCTGTTACCGCTGTACATTATTAAAAACAGTTGTCACTCAAAGCTCATAACAGTTTTCTATCTTAAAGCTACATCTGTAAGTACTAGTGCAGTGAGGCAAAGAGAATTTAAGGGAGATGCACAGGATCCCAAAGTAAATCAGTGGCACAGCTATGAACAGAGGCAACTCTCTTACCTGTTACAGGGCCATCCTTCTCCCTTTCTGTCAATGCTGCCAGTCAGTGCTCATGTTGATATCCAGTTACAAACAGAAGCGTGTGCGTTTGACTTGCGTGGTTGTTACCCTCTTTAATGTTTGGCCCAGATTGAGAATATGAAGACCTGTTCAAGAAGTATTAAATATAGAGGTGTCATAAGCCTTACTCTTCACAGTTGTACTCTGACCCTCTCACGGTTTCTGTTATTTGCTCTTTTACCTTAGTCTAAACATCCATTGCAGATCTAATTCCTAACTTGTAGAGATACTGCATCCATGGGGAGAAATGCTTCACTTATAATCACGTTTTATAGTTCCCTTTGTGGTTTATTCTGGCACTTTGACTTGTCATAGTTGAATAGATTGAATTCTGTAGAGTGCTCCTGTAAAATGCCGCACTTTTGATTTCAAATGTGCTTCAGTGTGATGAATGCACCATTAGGGTGGGATGTGGAGTAATGCTTAGATTTGTGGATTGTAGCTCTACGTTTTATTCTCAAGCCTCTCACCAGATTATTATACGAGTCATGGATAGGTCATTTTCAGGATTTCTGCTCCTGCGTCCCATATCTGTAAAATGAATGTGTTTTACCTATACAGCATGTCTGTGTTGACACCCAGTTGGTTATTTTTTGAACAGCTAGGCAGCAGGTTTTTTTAGGAATGCTGCAACATGTCAGAGAATCATAGAATAGTTTGGGTTGGAAGGGACCTTTAAAGGCCATCTCGTCCAAACCCCTGCAATGAACAGGGACATCTTCAACTAGATCAGGTTACTCAGAGCCCGTGCCCGCCTGACCTTGAATGTATCCAGGGATGGGGCATCTGCCACCTCTCTGGGCAACCTGTTCCAGTGTTTTACCACCCTCATTGTAAAAAACTTCTTCCTTATATCTAGTCTGAATCTACCCTCTCTTAGTTTAAAACCATTATCCCTTGTCTTATCGCAACAGGCCCTGCTAAAAAGGTCATCCCCATCTTTCTTATAAGCCCCCTTTAAGTACTGAAAGGCTGCAATTAGGTTTCCCCGGAGCCGCCTTCTCCAGGCTGAACAACCCCAGCTCTCTGTAGGAGAGGTGTTCTATCCGACCCCCACCTCGCTACAACCTCCTTTCAGGTAACTGTAGAGAGCAATAAGGTCTCCCCTCAGCTTCCGCTTCTCCAGACTAAACAACCCCAGCTCCCTCAGCCGCTCCTCATAAGACTTGTGCTCTAGACCCTTCACCAGCTTCGTTGCCCTTCTTTGGCCACACTCCAGCACCTCAATGTCCTTCTTGTAGTGAGGGGCCCAAAACTGAACACAGCACTCGAGGTGCGGCCTCACCAGTGCCGAATACAGGGGTACCATCACCTCCCTGGTCCTGCTGGCCACACTATTCCTGATACAAGCCAGGATGCTATTGGCCTTCTTGGCCACCTGGGCACACTGCTGGCTCATGTTCAGGCGGCTGTCAACCAACACCCCCAGGTCCTTTTCTGCCAGAC